CCGCCCCAACTCGGCGGTTCTTAGGGCCGGGTTCGGGTCCTAGAGCTAAAATCTGTCTGAAATCTGAAAAATCTATATGGATTTTTCCTAGTATTATATAATTAAGTGTTTTAGAAATTTTAGATTTTTCTAGACTTTTACTTACCCCTAGAATACATATATTTATATAGAAAATATTAATTCATATATAAAAAATTGAGTCTCGATACAACATCGACGAATCAGCGGACGCGTGGGTGCAACGCACCCTCGCTGCACCGCGCACTAGGGTACAGGAATAATTGTTACCTGGTTCGCTACCAGCTCATGGGGCATGTCTCTGTGGCGGGGTTATTGTTGTCGAGGATATTGCCTCGCGTAGCCACTCTCTAGTATTTGATTGATCGACACCGGTACCGTAGCAAGTCTAATAGCGACATCTTCCATGGATCCGACCGGCGCTAATGCATGTTGCTTACGGTCGGAAAGCAAACCACTCGATTTAGTCTTGCACCTGCAAATGGCATTTTCACAAGTGGTACCCACCCGAGGCACATCACATAATGAACAAATTAATGGTGGGAGACGGGGAGTCTGCGATCGTTAGACCCCTTGGGGCTTTTAAGGAAACCATCATTAACGGCAAATGGTGAGAGCCAAGCAGTGAATATTCTAACCCCCTCTTCCTGAGTGAACGGATTAGATTTTTATCAGCTTAGGGTACCTTCGTTTCAGACACAACAGCACTCACAACATCTGTTCAAGATGGCATCTGACCCTCACTGGCGATTCCCAGATGCGCAGCGATATATTACCTACCATAATAGATCCGGTGTTGCCACAACGTCGAGACAGACTGGACAATTGAACACGCCATTTGGAGATGGCTCTATTGGAACCCCATTATGGTCCGCAAGCGAAAGCCCCTGCGGATATTAGCAGAGAGGTTACCAATCAACAACCTGGCATTGCAGCTGCATCTAGCGGGTCTTTCTTTACTGTCTATGATATTCCACCGCGATATGATGGCCCATTCCACCGCACAACAACACTCGACTACGTTATGGTATTCCGAGGCGTGGTCATCCTTACTATGGAAGATGGTTCACAGGCGACCCTTGCGGAGGGTGATACGGTTGTCCAACAGGGAACAATGCATAAATGGACCAATGGGGGGGATGGCTGGGCGCGAATGGTTACGGTGATGGTATCAGCTCATCCTCCTATTGTCAACGGACATCAGCTGCAGCCGCATTGGCCGTACTGATACGTTGGCTGCTGGGCCGAATGGGGTTTACGCTACTGTTAGGCCACCTCATACACTACTACCGGGCTCTGTTCATTTCCTAACAATCTAATATCTATGGTCTCGGGTGCAACGTGCCTCGACTCCATAAATATAGACACGTTAGCACAAATGTCTTTAAGATGACCGTGTATATCCTTTTGACTTGGTTTTATTATAAGTTTTTTTTTTTTTTTTTTTTTCTCCTTTTATATATAATCTCTGGATGGCCAAGCCTGTCATCCTATTGCATATCGTAACATGTTGCATAACGCAACCCGATAAACATAGAGCGTACCTTAACTAGCTTAATTAATGAATCCGATTGTACGGAACTGCATCAGGAAAGCTTGAGAGGAATATTACCTCTGCTACTTTGCGGAGTGGTGATAGTGAACATATTAGTTGCGAATACAGCTTCATTTTAGAACCCTATATATCCAAATATACTGGCAAGCTGTGCTCTACTTCGTAGCTCCGTGAAGGAATTCTGGTTCAGCGCTTCTCCCAGTGATCGACATTCGCTTGAACTATCTATGACTTGCACGTTCTATCATAACAGCCTTGAACGTCTCTTCGATTGCGGCATCCCAGTCCTCCGCCGTTTTCATTGGAACCCAACCAATATTGAAAGCAAGCCTTGGGAGCGTTCGTGATCTAACAGGGTCAACATTTTCTGATTATTAATGGGATCAGTGGAACCAACTTTCCGGCATGATTTGTTTCTAATAGAAGGATGTTGCCGTCAAATCCCCACTTATGCCAGGCATCAGCCAGGGAGATCGAGCGTGGGATTTTGGAACCCAGAGCACCTAGGCTCAGCCCAATCTCACCAATTCTCTCATTAAGTTCTTTCCACGTGAAGTCTCCTGTATTACTAAAGTAAATGCCCTGCCTACCTGAAGGAATGTCATCGATGCCATCTAGTATTTTACAGAGGATGAGCTCATACAGTGACACAAGATCACTGATGTGGACGTACCCAACTGTACCAGAACCATCTCCGATATATTCTGGATGTCCCTGATCAATGGCATGGTGAATAGTGAAAGGGAGTTGTATTGACTGGCTTTTGAAGAAACCCAGTCCTGTACCGAAAACTGTCGGAGGCATCATCAAATAAGCTTTGACACCAGTTGCCTCCGCTGTTTGAATGACAGCCACATCGGTTGCTCGTTGATCATAATGCTCCTCGGCATCTCGCCGAACCTCTTCTGTATACACGTCCTCTGTGTCGCAGAATTCGTGGATGATGGCATCCGGATGCGAGACCATCCCATATGCCAGATTAGATGTTTCAGTTGTCTTGGAGTGTTAGACGGCACTTTGTGAAGTTGACTACAAGAAGAAATGCTCACGTGGATGTAATGTGCCTGTCCTCCACTTTCCTTCATTGAGTCGCCTAGTCCTAAGATTAATGCTACAGCAGACTTTGTGTGCAAGCCTGTAGCACAGTGCACAACGATGTCAAACTGCGAGGCAATATGTCTCAGCTGTTTAGTGTCATCCAATCCTCGGAATACGATTGACTGAACGCCACGGCTCTCCAATATATCTGCTTGTCCTTGCTTCCGGACAAGAGCTGCAACCGTCGAACTCTTTAGTATTGGATGCTCGGATGCCAGAAACTGGGTCAACACTGACCCTCCGCTACGGCAATGGTCAGGTACCGTATTCAACAATGCGAGTGTCACTTACATAAAGCCGGTTGCGCCTGTGACCAGCACCTTATAACAACCCATTGTGATATACGTCCTCTATCACAGTAAAAGCTGACGGTATAAGCGGCAGTTTCCCTTGACAACTTTCATTCGACGGCCTTGGAGAACGGGGGGCTTGCCGTTCCGTAAACTACACCGGGTAACTATTTATAACTACGAGTCGAAAGAGTTCTTAGGTAATCTTCCGATATTAAGTTAACTACTTTGATTCATTTGCTTAGCGTCATAACGTTTTCGAATGATATTTTTATTCGTCACTGCTGAGATCTAGTCTTAGGCCATATAAGCGCCACATAATCAACTTGCATAAAGGTCCCACCGAGTTCATCTCATATTGGTCGGTTATTTCTAACTATTTCGCTTAATTTGACTAGCAATGATTTAATACACAAGGCAAGAGATGGCGGTAACAACAACCATACCATATTGGCATTAAATCAAATATCTATAAGGCAGGAACTTGATTGAGAAAGTGAAAAGATATGATATTATGTATTTGCGCCTCCGCTAACATTCCAAGTTGTACCAGTCGCCTAACTACTGTCATCACTCAGCAAGAAAGCTGTTACATAGGCTATCTCCTGGGGCTGTCTGGGTCGTGGCGTCAGTGTGTCTGCCGCAGAAAGTGACATCCCAGCGTTATGTATGACCAGCTGATACATCGGCATGTCAACAGCACTGCTGTCGCCAAATCGTCGGTCATTAGCTTAAAGTCTCTCACCAAAAAAAGGTTGGGGGTTTTGCAATTGAATGCACATCCAGAAGGACTGAGTTTACACGGATACTATGCTTGCCAACTTCGAGGGCAGTACTTTTTACAATCCCAACTACTGCATGTTTAATAGCTGCGAAGACAGCGCCATTTGCATATCCTCTTTTACTGAACATGCTGGTGATGTGCACGATGCTGCTCTAGTCTGGGAACAAATTTGGTTCTAACGCCTCCTTGAGCACATTGAATAGGCCCCTGGCATTTAGATTCATAAAGTCAAATTTCTACTTTGCTCTCTGCCAGGATAGGCTCCACACCCTAGCTAATGCTCTCCAGTGCCTGCAAAATTGGCAATACCATGGATGCTTCCTATATGTCTCTTTGCGTCTACGAAAGATCGCTTCAATGATACTCCGTCTGTCATGTCCACCGCTGTAGCAAAGATCAAGCAACCAGGATACCCGGAACGTATGTCTTTCGTGGCCTTGTAGATCCCTGGATGATTGATATTGCAAATGCCAAGTCGGGCACAACAGCTCGCAGGAAAGACGGACGTCGCGAGTCCCATGTCATACGCAACCCCGATGATAAGAGCTGCTATTTTTGGGAGATCTGGTCCCATCGTCATCTCTTCAAGCAGAGGAAATTGGATTAGATGCGTGAGTTCCTTGGAAGTGTTCTACGAGCGGAAAGAGCCACCAAGAGCCTAGGCCACTCCTAGTGAACGTAACGAAGCCTCTCGATAGGTGTTAGAAGCCTCACTGCCACCCTCTCCACTTTATTGTTCACTAACGACGCTCATTCGCTCACTAAGCTGACCATAACGCCCCACTTATGTAATCCAAGTAAGCAACTTGCATTAACGTATTCAACGGGCGAGTGACGTATACAGGCGAGCGACGCACTCTGTATTCCCATACAAAGTAGCATTTTTCAATCTACAATATCTCAACCATTTTGTCATTTTTCTACTAGATATTTAAATTAGTATTTTCTTACAATCTAAATAGTGCGTATGTTGTTTTCTTAAGTGCCTAAGTCCATTAGTTACTGATATACTAGAAATAGCCTTGTATTTTATGCCTAATATGTGTATTTAAGACAGGCACATATTTATTTTATAAAAAATCTTTCAATATCTATATGTATACATATATAGAACTGACTATCCAAATATTAGCCTTGATAATAGGAGAATGGTTGAAATATCACGGATTAAAAAGTGTTATTTTGTATGGGAATAGAGGGTGCGTCGCTCGCCCGTATGCGTCACTCGCCCGTCGAATACGTTAACGTAACCAGCAACCGAATGTTCCTCCCTAGGCTGGCGTTTTGACTGTAGATAGAAAGTCTACAAGATTCAACCACCAGCCATGCCACCAAAGAGGCTTAAAAATCCAAAAGATTTAATTTAAATGGAAGGCAGAGTTCTACTTGTTATCTGTGCTATTAAAATACAAGAAACTAGATCTATTCATAAAGCTAAAGTAGTAGATCTGAGTCCTGACAGACTCCACTATATCAGCCAGAGCCTTATCTTTATACAATAGCTAAAATAGTATAGTCTAATACTATTATTTCTGATTAATTCTTCCTCGGGAGGAGATATATTCTAGTGAGTTTATAGTATACCCGACAGCCCCTATCCAGTAGTCAATAGCTATTTACCCAGCGGGTATAGGTACGCAGGATACTAGACTTAATCCACCGATAACAGCTGGCAGACACGGATAGATTACTACGCACTTTCCGGCACACACGGGAACATTAAAACGGGACCATTCAGCCAGCCCGGAGACAGAATGTACCTACGTATCCTAAGGTATAGGCTGACAGAGATAGACTACAGATAGGCTGTATATGCTTTAGCCTTTTGGCTAGGGGGGCCATTTAAATACTCTTTTATACTAACTAAACCTAGTAAATATTTCATCAACTGTGGCATCCATAATTCTGCTGTATTAGCAAATCTTGATCGGTGTAAGTATTGACTGTCCCAGATCAAGTCATGGAATATATGCAACACTGTGGAAAAGATGGAAGTTGGGAAGCGTTTTGATGTCAATTGGGGAATGTTCGGCTGAAGATATACGGAATTGGACAGCCTTCCCTACGTGGAATCCGTTCTTGCTACTATCAATGTAAAGATCATGGCACAATAACATCTTCTCATAAGGAATATGACGACCGCGATCTGCAATTTCCAGCTACTGTGAATTGGGCTGCCAGTCGTCCCCACCAAATAACCTGCCGGTAATCACGACGCCGCCATCCACACTACAATTGGAAGGCCCATATTAAACAAAAGATGAAAAGGGATAGTCCACAGCAGGGTGTATGTAAACTTAGGCGCCATTACCGTCCAAATAAACGTCCCATCCCGAAGCAAGAAGCATGCTATCATCGAGCAAAGAAGCCCATAAGCTACAAAGGCACTCCGAAGCCCCATGTGATCTATAAAGCCACTGCCATGTTTCCCTTTACCTTTGACAGTCGTCATTCTGGTGCCAAGTAGTCTCAAGCCGTTGCAACTCCACCAAATCGGACCCGCGTAGTTGCTGCAGAAAGTATGCACGGGACTAAGGAGCCAGTGGTGGGCGTTAAGGCCGTTGAACCCGTCTGTATATTTAAGCGTAGCAATGGAGTTGGAATTTCCAATGGCAAAAAATGCGCTTTGACCGAACAGGACTACAGATATACAAATCTGAAATGCACTGAGACTTGTTGGGATTGCCACTGTATGACAAGATAAGCACATATTCTCCTCGTTATAGTTTATGCGGGATTGAACACTCACAAAGTGACTCGAGTTGCAACCTGTAGACGAGAAACAATGGTATATTTACCGGGGTGGATTGGATGATTAAATAGACATTCAGAATTTCTAGAAGACAAGTGGTAACATCTATAGTAGCGATGTAGCAAGGGGGACCGATATCACCTTTCTTCATCGTCACTTGTTTCTTGGCCCTGAGACGCAAAGGAAGGTAGATGAACCCGCCAAGTAAGCAGAGAAAAGCAAACCGGGCCACTAAAGGGGGTTCTAGCCGCTCAAGAAAGCTTTGCAGCCACCTCGGCGTGCAATTCATCTGGTCCGGGGCGTTTCTAATCGCAGAAGCTAGCTCGAAAGTCAAGGCAGCAAGCGTCATTGCCCCATGAGCTAGCGCAGTACAGAGAATCTCTATCGAAGACGAGTTTAATACCTTCGTAAGTTGCATAGTGAATTTGACTGATGTCGCAAGGAAAGTGGCTGCAAGCAAGGCCTGAAGATCACAAGGATGCCTGCTGAGAAAACCTCGAACATCGTATACGTCTCCAAGCTTTGCTTTGTGACCATGTACCCAAGACTGCGAAAGTAATTGCAATAAGAAGGGCAATAACCGGACAAAACTATGTGTGCGAGAGTGTCGACCGGCGATGAATACTAGGTAGCCTATCCACAGGGTAGAACTGCAGAACCAGAAGTGATGCTCACTCTCCACAATATACTGGGACATCATTGAGAGCCCATAGACAGTGTAGAATAGATTGAACGTGAAGAAGTTCCAGTTAAACCAACTAAATGAGTCACAAGCATAGCAAGAGAGCAAAAGCGCAATAAATGCAGTAATAATGCCGCAAAGAAGAAGGGAGACTCGAATGATTCCTATTGTGGCGGTCTCCATGACTTTCTGGATGCGATTGCCAACCTAGAAAAATGTGCTCACCGGGTTCATCAGTTTTGCGTCTTGTAATAGCGGTTTATTTTGACGGGTGGGATTTTACCTCATAGAGATCTGCTAGGAATTGCTTGTCGGAATCTTGGTGGAAAAGATTATCCCAGTAACTGCCCGGGCCCAACCCTTCGGAGGAGCAGGCACCTTCCGGAACCATGTCAGACATATTGGTGATACAGTCGTTTTTGCAAAGTAAAGCCCGGAGATGCTTAATATTGCCAATGATTAACTGAACCCGATCCACCATATTCTTCCAAATAGGCAGAAGCCCTGGAATGAACATCCCAATACTGTCATTAGGTATGGGAATCCCCAGAAGCCCCGCAATAGTAGGTACAAGATCAACTTGTTTGATACTAGTATAGTAGTCAAACATACCCCCACTAGGTGTTGTAGGAGATTCGTAGCCTTGATTGATGGACTGCAAGTGCGGTGATATGAACATCATTGCGGCCGATATTTCTGGATCAGACCCGCCACCATGGCCTCCTAGCTGATCCATGCCGTGATCACCACCAACTATAAGGAGGGTTGAGCTTAGATGGACCTCTTGTTCCAGGCGTGTATATATCTTCTGAACAATATTATCCATTTGCTTTTGCTTAGACGCCATGAGGTGGCTGCCAGCACCGCCCATGTGCCCAATATGATCGATCCCAGGAAGATGAAGGACCATGGCGCTCCAGTCATCACGATGAAGTTCATCCAAGGCAGAGGTTGTGATATTTATATCAATGGAGTGAAGGTCCTATACACCCTTCAGTTTCTAAAGGAACCGGGCCGCATCGGCTTGATATCATCGGAAAGAATTAGGGACTTACTGGAACAAACAGTGCTGAGTGGAAATGGCCCCGATCCCAGAGATCAGGAAACAGTTGCGCCCACGTATCATCACCGTAAAAGAGTAATTTGCCCTTCCCCGCAGCTTTAAGACGTGCCAGCCATGTGTCCCTCTTGTCAGGTCTACCAGGGCCATCATCCGCATTATTAAAGACATCGAGAAAGCTGGAGGCTGAGCCAATCGTCATAGCCATAACACAAGATCTTGTCAGACTAGGCGAGCTAGTTTTCACCGTGAATGGCATGGCGGCACCCAGGCGGATCAAACTTGAATGGGTTAGCCAATATAAGGCTTGGGCTGGACATGTCGAGCAATGCGTACTTCTGTGTAAATTCAAAGTTTGAATCAAGGCCGTAGACAAAATCACTGCCAGGGATTTAACATGGGTCTCAGAGGTTGTCGTTGGTGCACGTTTATAAATACCTTCGCAGTGCATCGACTATCAAGAAGACCACTTTCTGGAAAGGTGCGACTTCGGATATCGGTCCATCATCTACCAAAGCTGCACTACTTGATGAGGGTGGTATGGGTCGAAAAAGCCCTGCGGCGAATACAATAGCTGATACGAGAATGAAGGCATTTGCGAGGAGAAGAAGAGCAGTGCGGAAGTGCCACCCCATTATGCCGGACTCTCTCCCCTATGTTAACTTGAGAGATTGAAGGGCTCGCGGCACTGGAAGATTTATATATGTTCTATTGTTAGTTGGCGCGGTTGAAAAGGCGATACAGGGAGAGTATCAGTTATACATGAGATGAATATACCCCCAACCATGGAGACCAATTGTCCCAATGTGATCAACTCTCAATGAAGAAAATGACGAAGACTTCGATGAGGTAATTAGAAGGGCGATCAGTAATAAAGGGTAAAAACCTTGCATATAGCGCTCGGACACACCCAAGCCTATTTGTTCACTCAGCTGGAAGATTGATATTGTGGCTTATCTAGGGGTGAAGTAACTTTGCAATTATGATATGTCTTCAAAAATCCTTTCTTCAATGGCTTGATCGAGTGGAATGCTCAAACTAGGGGGGAGAGGAGAATGTGACCTATCCGAGGCTAAAGTACGGCAACTAATTACGCCACAATAATCTTGAATGCTGAAAAAAGGGTGTTGACGGTGACCCTAGGATATTAAACTGGTACCATAATGATGTGCCTCTGGAGGAACCCACCTGTAGTTTAAAACATCAGAATCCAAGGTGAATGAGGAGGATGGCGTTGGAAAACAACCCAAGGGATATATCTGAGTGTACAAAAGCATAGATTCAAATTGTTAAGTAACCTGCGAACTCATACTGTCAAGCCCCAAAACCTTCCACTTGAGACACCTAAGCGTAGATGTGATAAATGCCGGAGAGAGAGAAGCCCTATCGCAAACGAGTTTCATTGCTCTTGCCTTATAGAAGACGATGGACATCTTCCGGTCCACATCGAATCACTTCTTCTACTCTCCATGTAGAAGGCATAGCTTTTCCACCCGTTGGCTTGGCCTGAGGACATAGTCGACCAGGAAGACCACGGGAGAGCTTGAGCGTCAAAATATTGCCAATCTCGTTACAGGCCGTCAAGACCCTATTCAGATCCTCTACATTATGCGCAGCAGACACGCAGAAACGAACGCGACACTGCCCAAGTGGAACAGCAGGATACGGAACGACGACAACCGAGATCCCACATTTCAGCATCATTCGTGAGAATGCGGTCATCTTCCCCGGGTTATAGAGAATCAATGGAATTACCGGCGAATCGTCATGGCCATAGACTATAAAGCCCAGCCTCTTCAAACCTAAGCGAAGGTAATAGGCATTGAAAGCTAAGCGCTGTAGTCGCTCCTCCCCCTGACCTGGTACCAACTCTCCGGTTATAATTCGAAGAGCAGCTGATATCTGTGCTAACATTGCTGGGGCGATTGCTTCACCGTATACCACGCCTGCATTCACAGCTTGCAGCTTTTTCATGATGCCCCGGTCCGCTGCAATGTAGCCTCCGATAGCTCCGAATGATTTGGTCAGGGTTCCCATCATAATATCTACTTCCTTCGTGTCAATGCCAAAGTAATCACAGACTCCACGACCATGGGGACCGATTGCCCCGATAGAATGTGCTTCGTCCATGAAAAGGTAAAACTTATAACGATGCTTCAACTCAATAATGGCGGGAAGGTTACAAAAGGTTCCCTCCATAGAATACATCCCTTCAACAATAACCAAGATCTTGTCCCACGGGCAGTAGCCCATAGAAGTCGGTTGGCCTTGGGAGATGGCTTGTCGGAGCCTTCCCTCTAAGGCCTTCATATCGTTGTGTTTAAATGCAACGACCGATGCACCAGAAAGGCGTGCACCAAATCGCAGCGAGGAGTGATTGAGCTCATCCGAGATGATCAAGGAGCCTCGGCCCACCAATGCCGGGAGGATGGTAGCGTTGGTGCCGAACCCGGCTGAGAAAACCATTGCCGCATCCTTGTGGACGAAATCGGCCACCAGCCGCTCAACCTCGACATGTAGGTCAAGGCTTCCCACGTCTGCCCGGGTGCTACCTGCGCTGATGCCATGCGTGCGAATCGCCTCTTCTGCCCTGTCCGCGCAGGGCCCCTCGGACTGAGCGAAACCAAGATAGTTGTAGGAACTGAGGTTCAATGTCTGAGTGGTTGTGCCGGTGAAATGGAAGGTTCGATTGTGGTCACTTGTTTCTCGGTCAATCAGAGTGATGTACCGTCCGGGGACACCTGTTGTGGGACGATCAAGACAATCAGCTAGTCTCACTTTCATTCGTCGTGTATAGACACTCTCTCCGGCCGTAAACCACGGCGCGTATCCATTCCACGGCCTTAGATGACGATACCGTTTCTCACGAAAGTAACGGCCAAAAAGGTCGCGGATGGTGCCAATGATATGGATAACCATGTAACTTAGATATGTTGTGATGAAATAGAAATATGGAGGTTGCTCAACAATTGGGTCGCTCCAGAGCCGAGTGGTGTGGTGATTAGAATACCGATGGCTAGCATGACTGATGGGACCAAATTCCGTGTGGTGCTTGACCTGAGGATGTTTCTGCTTGTCATACAACGTGGGTTTCCAATAATCCATTTCAGTCTGCCTAGGCTATTGTGCATAAATTATAGTACACTATGGCTCAAAGACAAGAACGCGCTCTAATTAACGAAATATACGACCGTGCAAGAGAGGGAAACTCAGGGCAATCGGGACAATGGGTTGAAATTTGTACCCATCCTCGATAGATCACATACTCATACAGCCTTCTCGGACTGCTGGTTTCCGATCAAAACCAGTTAGACTAAAGGCTACAGGAATTGGGGACACAATCCTGGCCACGTCGACGCCGGGGGAGACGCCCCCTTGCTTGATGATGTTTTTAAAATTCGTGATCCAAGCACAACCTCCGCCTGGATCAGCTCCCACGTCTTCTCTCAATCCCAAACCACTACGATGGCCGATTCTCAAAGCGATCTGACAGGTGGCTGCCATCCCCTGATAGATGGATACAACACGCCGTATGGCTATCTACCTACCTTCGCTCCAGGTGCAGCATTCTGCGTATTGTTCGGCCTCTCAGCAGGCATTCACATGGTACAGGCAATATGGAAACGAACTTGGTGGACATTGCTCTTGACAGTGGGCTGCATCAGTAGGTGTGGGACTAACTCCAGGGGAAGCAACCTTACTTTACTTGGCTAACCATGTACATAACTATAGCTGAGGTTTTCGGATGGGCTGCTCGTATCTGGTCAACTCAATGCCCCTACAACTTGAATGCATTTCTGATGCAATTCTCAACTCTCATCATCGGTAAGCAATGTCACCCCCCATACAAAACGTATCAAAAAATAACAAAAAATTCAGCTCCCACATTCTTTAGCGCTGCGATTTATATTTTCCTCGGATGTTTCGTGCGCATCGTGGGACGGGCCTCCTCATATCTTGGCCCCAAATCCTATCTATGGACATTTGGTATCTGCGACATTATTTCCATCGTCATCCAAGGGGTAGGTGGTGGTATCGCCTCCGCGGATTCAAAAAAAATCGATGGTAATCTCGACAATGGAACTCATATTATGCTAGCGGGGGTAGTCTTCCAGTTGTTCTCCATGGCAATCTTCATGATATGCGCATGCGATGTCTTCTATCGGGTTTATTGCCACGACTTACCCGTGCCTAGCGGATCAGCCAACCTCTGGCTCGGAGTGTTGGTATCCACTACAACTTGCATATTTATTCGGTGTATTTATCGCACAGTGGAGCTGGGCCAGGGGCCAGGAGGATATCTTCTCCTACACGAGAGCTATCTGATCTCCTTTGATGCAGTAATGATGGTTCTTCTGGTGGCCATCTTCGCCATCTTCCATCCGGGCTGGCTCGTATCGAAAAAGGAATTTATACCGCTCGGTGAGGTTCAGCTATTGGATAGGGAAAGCAGGTCGTGATAGCCGTAGCGAAGTACTAATTAGACATTTGTCTCTTGGGTAGGACTTTTTTTTGGAAACAAAATAAAAAAATAAAAAATAAAAATGAGCCCTCTCCCCGTATCGCCTGATCTAGCGAATCTTGTGGCGCCGCTGGGGTTGTCATTTAGTGTTTCAGATGTATCATAAATATTGAAAAAGGCTGTGCAGATCATATTTCTGTGGGGAGCTGAAATTCCATGTCGCTGGCCTGCTCTCAGGTCTTCCAATCTAGTAAAGTTTATCAGCCCTTTTCGTCCTTAAAAACAAAAGTTAGAGCAAGGGATACATATTCCTTTTGGAAAGCTAACCCAGTGTCGATGTTTATCCCGTTCTCTGTGCGGCTCGACTCAAGAGAGCGAGCCCGCCGATTATTGAATCCGATCCAGTCGAATATCTGCGTCGGGACAAATCGCGATGGTGTTCATCAAAAATGAAATAGGCCTGCGAGAGCTCATTGCCTCAAACCAGCTGGGTAAGTCAATCTCCAGCACGAGGAATAAGATGAGATTGGTAACGATTACCTGCTAGCATGCTCTGTCTTGGTCCTTACTACTCATATATTCGGTGATATGGATGGCTTCGTTACAGTCATCCGATCGCCATATTTGTCGTGGGTATCTGGCCCAGTCCCTGTACAATCCCGTCATATCCTAGCCGATTGGGAGTTCTTATTCTTGTTCGGCGTTCTGTTTACGATTGCCCGCTCTGTCACGGCCGTTCAAATCCTCCAACCGGGGCTGCGATATGCGGGGTTCGACGCACAAGGCTCCTCTCACCTGGCAGCCCTGGGGTGGAAAGTACTATCCCGTGGCATCCTGATGCTGTATGCCGTGGTGGGTTGTAATTCTGAACCTAACAGTGTTCCATATCAAACTACTAATATATTCTATGTAGGGTCTATGGTACGAAAGCCCTGATCGTTTGGATCCTCGGTGGCTCTTTGACAACTGGCCGCTACACCCGATCTCCGAGTCGATGAAATATTTATTCCTGCTGCGCCTTGCATTCTATATCCATCAATGTCTGATCATGGTGGTTGAGCCCATACGAAGTGACTTCACCTCGAAATTCCTCCATCATATTCTAACATGCGCGGTGGTTATTGCGTGTTGCAATAGCCGGGCGTACTCATTATTGTACATCATTCTCCTGACCGCTGATCTTGCGGATATTCTCCTAGCTGTAAGTGGAAACCAGACTATCACTATCACCAAGGATCATGTGCTAATAGGGTTGCTAGTTTGTTCAAATCCTAAAATGTCTCAAGTATGAGAAGAGCCTCCGGCTGTCCCTCCTGGGCTTCATTTTTATCTGGATATTTACACGGCATATATTATTCTTATATTTCCACTGGGTGCTTCACCATGCTCTACCTCTGGATAGAGGCTGTCAAGTCGTGATTACAGGGCATATGATGCTCAACCCTGATGATCCGAAGTGGGAGCAAATCTCCCCCCAGACACAGCAAAACCGAAGCACGATATGCCTATCGCAGGGCGTCAAACTGTCCTTGTCTGGTATGTCAATTGTTTTGCAGTTGTTGTTCTTAATGTGGACTGTCGAATTTGTTCAAATTGCGGTGTACATGCATCGCAAATGTGTCTCGAGATGTGAGGAGAAGGATACCGAAAGGGAAAGGCAGTAGGCGGCTACGAGCAGCGACAGAATATGCATATCGTTAAACTCTCTCTGAAGGATATCCCTGTTGAAATGATGTTCTAGGTATTTGAAATTCCTCACGTATGCACAGCTTCATTCTTGCCATAGCGGAAATAATCCCGCATTCCATTCTCATGTGAAAGACCAAACCACGCTATCACCAGCAAGATTCTAGGCTCAATCTCCTATGCATTACATTCCATTGTTGGATCACTTGATAATACTGCCCAGTAGAGGTCTGATCCACACCCCCCTGATGCCATATTGGAGTAAGGGCTCAATACGTTCCTTATATATGTTCGAGGGGCGCAGGAGACAGCAATGTGATGAGAACACCTTTAAATAACTCACCCCCCCCAAAAAAAAGCAAGAAAGAAAGAAACGAAAATCTCACAAGTACAGTAAATTGACAAAGGGTATTATTTTGAACATCCGAAACGCACTGCTAACGTACGCCACTTCTGTTGTACAACAAAGCTAATGTATTCTGTAATAACCTTGCCTGCATGTATACACGTATAAAAGATTCGAAATTATTAGACGTATCATTCTACAGATACCCTGTGTTGAATCCTACCGGAGTTTCATATGTGTTGTCTTTCTTAGGTTAGCCTTTCTAGAGCAAAAGGCAATATCAGTAAATGACGATCACATCCAATCTGCAAAGGCAGAATATGATGTATCGTGTCTCCTAACATAGAGTTTCATTGTCACCCTTACATGATGTAAGTTATGTGTGAACGTCCAACAAGGTGTTACTTTTGCTCCTGCTCAAGGCATCGTCCCTGCTTCATGCTATTTGAGCAGCGGAAATCTTGCAGCTTCTTCCCACGACCATCTGCGTGCCCAATTTCCAAATTCCTTTCTCGGCTTTTCATTTCTTTTCATCTCCTTTCTTTTTCTCTTTGGTTTTATTTCTTATCATTTGTATATTCTGATTTCCAATTACATTTCTAGGGTTCTATACCCGCCAAAACCCCAACTAACAATATGAGTCTCAATACTAGTATCGATTCCCAGTACGCAAAGGTTGCAGTCGGAAGTGCCACCCTTGGTATTTTCCTCTTACTATTGCACCAGCTATACCGCAGACTGCTTCTCCCTAAGCCGATTCCCAACATTCCATACAATGTCGCAGCTTCCCAAAAGCTGCTTGGTGATCTCCCTGAGCTTAAAGATGAAATGGATCGAACCAGCGACATGAGGTCGTGGCTTCTGCGGCAGACAATCAAATTACAATCTCCTCTCATCCAACTATTTCTCGATCCCTTTAGCAAACCAATTCTCATTCTCAGTGACCCGCGAGAGGCACTGGATATTCTCCTCTACCGCAGTCGAGACTTTGATCGCGCCCCTATGCTTTATGATATCTTCTCAGGCTTAGCCCCCACCCATCATATCGGTATGAAGACTGGACCGGAGTGGAGAAGACATCGTGATTTGATCCAGCATTTGGTCACCCAGCCGTTTCTTCAAGACACAGCAGGGCCTGCAATCCATGCGTCTGCCTCCCGTCTTGTCAGGCTTTGGAGGGCCAAGGCTAGAGTAGCACAAGGTGCAGCATTCGCAGCTAAAAGAGATTTTCAATACATGATTATCGATGCCTTGATAGAGATTTGTTTCGGGAAGGACTTCCCCAACAATGGAGTCTCGTCTCAAATCGAACTTCTCGAAGCATACCACACACTAGCTCCCGATGTCAAACCTCAAACATCGATCACCTTTCCCGAGGCAAATCCTCATGAATTCATCTGCGCCCATAAGAAGATTACCGAGGCCATTGAGCATTGCGGACAGTCGGTATATCCCCGACAAATGTGGTGGGCGATGTCCAAGCTACCTCGTCTGGCCAACGCCCTCCGCATAAAACGCAGAGTCACCAGAGAGCGCTTAATAACAGCAGCCGCAACCATCGCCCAGAAGATGCCCTTGGCAGATAGCTCTGGGGCATGGTCATCCGCGGAGTTCATGGCTCACCACGAGAACAATCTTTCGCAGCAGGAATGTCGACAGCCAGAATACATTTCCCCTCCGATGGAAGATGAAGTATGTAGTATCTGCAATCTTTTTTCTTCTTCCAATCATATACTTATATCTAAGCGGTTGACTTTAGCTTTATGGATTTCTTTTCGCCGGGTCACATACCAATTTCATTACTCTAGCATGGGCGATAAAGACCGTCGCTGATAATCCCGTATCACAAAGTCGACTGCGAGACGCACTACGTGCTGGCTTCCCCGAAGCCGTGCTGGAAAGCCGTGCCCCTAGTCCCTCCGAGATGAGCTCTAGACAAATACCCTATCTAAATGCGACCGTGGAGGAAATCCTGCGTATTTGTCCCGCCACCCTCCTAGTTGACCGGGTAGCGATTCGCGATACAGAACTTCTGGGGTACCATGTCCCAAAAGGAACATGCATCTGGACAATCCCAGCCGGCGCAGGATTCACCTCCCCAGCCCACCATATCAGTGAGGAGAAGCGCAATGCTTCCTCACGTTCCAACGCCAAACACAGCCGACGCTCTGAGTGGTCCGGGGATGATATTGCCCAGTTCATCCCCGAGCGGTGGCTCCGACCGTCTGCTGAGAAGCACGGCGAGCTGGTATTTGATCCCAGCGCCGGGCCAATCCTTGCCTTTGGGGCTGGTCCTCGGGGTTGCTTCGGACGACCCCTGGCCTATCTGCAGTTGCGGATGGCTGTCGCCCTTTTCGTGTGGAATTTTGAGCTTCTGAAATGCCCGGACTCTTTGTCGAGCTATGATGCCGCCGATGGACTTTTTCACAAGCCGAAGAGCTGCTATGTTTCTTTGCGAGAGCTATCGTCATGAATTCATAATGGTCATGTTATATATACACTTTTTGTAGTCCCTAGGATCCTAGTATATATACCTAGTGATAAAGAATAAATAAGCGCTTGTTATAACTACTATCAGACAAGAAAGGAGAAAGGAAAAAAGTAAATAGATGCTAGATAAATGGTCGATATGTGCCACCTTTCTTTTATACTAATTAGTTTCTCAACCCCAGACATTATATTCGTGGCGAAAGTCATATAAATGCAATATAGGCAGACAAGTGCTGCCCTATTCCAATTTAAGTCAAGGACATCTGCCTTTGTCAGATGAACTTTAGTGATTTCATGAATTGAGGTATCTTGCTTAGATTGGTGGTCAGGGCATTTTCATCTACATTCGTGGCTCGGCTAGTAGCTAGCTGACGTTACAGTTCATTACACTTCAAAGTAGATCCCTTATAAGTTTCATTTTCCATGGGATGTATTTATCATCACTTTTATCAACCAAGGTCTCTATCGAAACTGCTATTTGTGGTAAATCCAACCGCACGATGTTCGGTATCCGGCCCGGGGGCTGCTGGGTCTCGAAAGTTCGGGCCGAACACCGTATCTCTCTGAGATGGCAATCATATCCAATGGCATTTCTTCAATTACTGAGGAATACCTGCTTCACGTTAGAATACTTCGGTTTGACTTTCGTAGAGACCCTTACCCCGCGCTATCAAAATTAGCGTGGATTACCGATAACGTTGCAATGTCAATTTTCAAGCCCCTGTAAGCTATATATTACAACGGTGCGACATGTTGAGGGGGAACTTGGTTTTTGTTCTAATCACTATATCCTTTCCTGTTATACTTGAATTACCTAGAATAGGTTGGTCTTTATCGGTATTTTCCTTCTATATTCTTCGACGAATATGACGGCAGACAGTACCCCTGCTACAGGGTGTCCAGATCGGACAACTAAGTTCGGTGTTTTTGGACCTAGGCCTGATGAAGCGGGAATGAAAAAGAATATCCTACAACCTGACTTTGCTCCCAATTATGGTTCGGATGTTCAGAGAGGCACAATTTCTGGCGCTGTCACCGATGCTAATGGTCTTCATCGTACATTGGGCAATCGACAGATCCAACTTATAGCAATTGGTGGCTCCATTGGAACGGCCATATTTCTGACTATAGGTTCAGCACTCACACATTGCGGACCTGGGAGCTTACTGCTCGCCTTTCTTGTCCACAATATTATGCTTGGTTTTGTCAATAGCTGTATGGCAGAAATGGCTGTTTATATGCCTGTTAGTGGTGGATTCATTCGGATGGCTTCCAAATGGGTCGACGAAGCATGGGGCTTTATGGCGGGATGGAACTTCTTCATCTATGAAGCTCTGAATATCCCATTTGAAATAACAGCTATTCACACAATTCTTTCTTTCTGGCGTGATGATATCCCAGCTGCAGCTGTATGCGCTGCTTGCATTGTTCTCTACGGGTAAGACGTCCTAGGTTCCATTTCTACCAACACCGCCCCTTTTCCCAAAACAGTCTCATCAGCTGGTTATCTAGCCTTCAAAAAGACACAATATAGACTAAACATCTTTTGATCAAACAGCTCCTTGAATATTCTTGTCGTGAAAATATATGGTGAATCAGAATTCTGGCTATCAAGTGGCAAAGTTCTCTTGATATTCATACTGTTCTCCTTCACATTTGTCACAATGGTGGGAGGGAACCCACATGGTGATGCATATGGATTCCAACATTGGCAAGGCCCTGGTGCATTTGCCGAGTACTTACATACCGGGGATCTTGGACGATTCGAAGGATTTCTGTCCGCCCTTTGGTACGCTGCATTTACCTGTGTTGGCCCGGAGTATATCTCTATGATTGCAGGAGAGGCTAAACACCCTCGTATATATCTAAAGTCAGCCTTTAAAACAGCTTACTGGAGATTTGGAGTCTTTTTTATCGGTAGTGCCTTGTGCACTGGAATCGTTGTTGCTTACAATGATCCTGCACTAATCGCTGTTGCTAATGGCGAGTCAGAGCGCTCCGGGGCAGCATCATCTCCATACGTTGTCGCAATGGAAAATCTCGGCATTCGTGTGCTACCTCATATTGTGAACGCACTTTTGATCACTACAATCTTTTCAGCAGGGAACACGTATGTTTATGCCGCTTCAAGAAGTCTATATGCTCTGAGTTGTGAAGGCAAGGCTCCAAGATTCCTACGAAAATGTACGAAGAAGGGTGTACCGATATATTCCTTTGCTGTGGTCATGGCATTTCCATTTCTCTCTTTGTTGCAATTATCGAACAGCTCTGCCACCGTCCTGTCTTGGCTTATCAATATATTAAGTGGGGCTGCAGTGATCAATTTCATTGTGATGTCTGCCACATATATATGCTTCTACAGAGCATGCAAGCACCAGGGGGTGGACCGCAGTTCCCTTCCCTATAAAGGCTGGTTCCAGCCATTCGCAGGATACATTGCCTTAATCTGGATGGTTGTCATTGCAGTGTGCAACGGATATTCGAGTTTCAATCCTTGGAGCCTCACCGACTTCTTTACCCATTACAATATGATTCTGCTTGCAATATTGACTTTCTTTGGATGGAAGATAGCGAAGGACACCACTCTACTGTCATCTGATATAGCTGATTTACGGTGGGAATCAGGAGAGATTATCACTTACGAAGAGACCACCACTGACCCTCCTGTGGGCTTCTGGACAGAAACCCTCCAGTTTCTACGGAAAGGTACTCGTCCTAGACTAGAAGCAGTGTGAGCCTCCTGGGTGTCATGGAGGGGAAGTGTGAAGTTCAACCGGACCTTCGCTTAAAAGCTAGGTGGAACACTTTCCTATGTCCATGGCTATAGGCTAGATCAAGAGATAGTTGACAGCAGATTTGAAGCAATTGGGAGATACTATCCCACATAAAATTTATAGATTTCCGAGATTCCACCACGTAGAGAAGCCTTCTGAAGTGTTCCTAACGCTGGATTCCGGAAGGAAGCCATCAGTGTCCCCAAATTGAGGAGTTTCGGCGAGGTCTGCCCAAGTCCACGAAGTATTGAACAAGTTCGGAGTCGGTGGAAAAATGTTATGTCGAATAACATTACCATTGGGAGGTGCCTGTGGCGTTGAGTTGGCTTTGTATGCCGGCAATCTTGCATCGTGCCCGAGAGTTGGGTCTACGATGACCGACGGTGGGGTGTCTGTAGTGCTGATCTCAAGGGTCGAATCTGGTTGCACCTCCCTAGCATCACTAGGAATGAGCGAGGCTACTGAAGGGCTTGAAAGCGAGGACACAGGCTCGGAGCTGGAAGTGGAGAATTGTAGAACTGCCCACATCAAGGGGACACTGAGTTGGATTCTAGACGGCGTCCTCTCCCAACCTCTATTGTCCAACGCAATCCGAGCCAATCTGTCCAGTGACAGAGCCTAAAATCATTAGTACGGAATGAGAAGCCACTATAATGGGAAGATATAGGCTTTAAAGAACACGAACCAATGTCTTACAGGCAGGCGAAAACACAGAAAAGCTTTCCAGAAACCTTTGACATTTTGCAAAGTCTGTTCTGGACTTTTGACTCAGCCGGGCATCAGTAGCGCAAGAAAAATAGAGATGTACAGTGGCTGCGATAGCGGCTGCATGCGCTAGAAAAGGATCATATATTTTGATCTGTTTTTCGTAAATCATGTCAATAGTGCGAACGATCCACGTAGCATGTAGCAGCACTAGCTCTGAGGATTTGCGCCAAAAAGTATTAGGAATTGCTAGATCATGATAACATTGGGACGCAGTAATGTATAAAAATGGATGGTTCATCACTGTTAATATTGAATGCCAAATAAATTGCATCTTGAGCCATGGCATCCAATAGTCTCTGTTCCGCTTCACTTCATCTGGTTGACGCTCATAAAATCTTACAATGTTATATCGATGACTCAAGGGTGCTTTGTTTTCAATATCTGTTAAATCAGCAAGCACTTTAGAATAGGCTGAGTCTATACGCCAAGGCTCCATTAGCTTGTTCCTAGAACAATCAGAAATATATACTCTGACTCGACTCCAAACCCATCCAAAGTGGATTGAGAGACTCCAAATGCCAATTTCTGACTCTGTAGCAGCAGTGCTATCTCTCGGGAATTCTGTGTCTTTGGCGTCAGAAAGGTAGTATGGACGCCAAATATCCGGTACTGTCTTAAACATCCCATGCTCTTCACTATAGAACTGTTCCAGAGCTTGAATGCTCCATATAAGCCTTTTCTTTCGCTCACTGGCAGGATCCTCGTTCAGTTGCATTGGACTATCTAACTTTGTAGACCGGCACAGTTGCAAACCAAGGCCAAGGTAGAATTGCCCATTATGTATATCACCATCTTCTTAATGTCAAATGATTGGTAGAAATAAGATACAATAGAGGGCTGTTACCTATAAATGCAGAGCACGCAAGCAAGCAGGTGCTTTCAATAGTTTCGAGCTTAGTTGTCTCATTTGCGAGGCGGAACATAATAGACCACCTAGCATATTTACCGTAGTTAGGTAAACTACTCTCCATTGAGAATCGCGCAGTGAGCTGTAGGATACTGTAAACAAGCTCACTGGGCAAGCTAATGATGTTTCCTAGGTCCTGGCGATCAAAACACCATATCGGCTGCCGGTGGAAACGCTCAAAGTAAAGATCAAGGCTATTTGAAATGGTAGATTCAGTAATATCTAGCTTTGGTAGATGAAAATCGGGTTGAGAGTTGATAAATTGCTGGGCTGGTTGCTTGGGATCATGTGAGGAGCGATGGTCTCTCAATGCTTCAGTATTTGTACTTGTCTGCAAGGTGGAAGAAGCTTTGGGTGAGTCCGAGGATGACAGGGAACCCAGCTCTTCGTCTTGGTAGTCGGAGGCACATCGCTGCTCTCTGTCACCCATCAAGAGGTCCACCTTCTTCTCGAGATCGGCCAATCGGTCCTAATTCAAGTGTTAGAACCCGTGACAAGATCCCATCTCAACCGTGGCTACCGGTGGTTGTGGCTTATCATAAATGCAGGGTTTCTTCAGCCGGACACAGCTTGAGCAGGCAGGTCTTTCCGAAGGACATCGTGTCTTTTTCTTTCTGTTCAATGTCAGGTTTCATATTGCAGCCGAAGGGCATAGAAAATGTCACCACAGACCTGCAGTTACGGCAGGCTTGACGTGCCCGTAGCCGCTCGCGGTTAGGCCCTCGGCGCATAGCGATTGCGGGCACGCTCCAGAACTAGAAGGGTATACTATTTCTTCGCACGCACCGTCTCCACAGTGATTCCGTGTTGGGGAAGGGCTCTAGTTGAATCAGCGGTGTTAAGCGTTGGGTGGATGGACATGGAATCCTAGGGAAGAAGAGTTCAGAAATCTAAGATGCCCAGAGATAAGCAGACTGTGAGGGGATTACTGATGTGATCGCACTTGGACCAATTAGATCCTACCGCACAGACAACCCCCGCAACGTTGCCTGTGGGGTGAGCTCTCTTTCTTGGCGCCTCTCTCTGCCATGGAGTCAGGAGAATCGGGCCGTGAGGTCGTAGCCGGTCACGTGGTCGGCTACAGCATCCGGCCGCAGTCGCAGGGTGCCCTAAACACCCACTCGTTTTCATTAAAAGGCGACAAGGCCTTGAACAGGGATGAATTCTTGTTAATTGGGAAAGATAATTCTCCCTGACTTTTTGACACCCGTCGATTTGAAGAGACAAGATGGCTACATTTGATTGGCATGCTGAAAGGGCCGACCTCTCCAATATAGCTCTATTGGACCGGGCTCCTGAAAGTGAAGGGATTGACCTCAGTGCACTACGTCTCTACAGACTGAATCGCATACGAAGTCAGATGACAAGATACGGCATAGGTGCTCTCATTCTCTCCGATCCTGTTAACATCCGTTACGCTACAGGCAGCCGCAACATGCAGGTCTTCAGCATGCGGAATGCACCGTCACGATACTTGTTGTTAACTCAAGACCGGTCTGTCCTTTTTGAATTCACGGGCTGCCTTCATTTGGGCCAGGGATATGAGACTATTGACGAAGTGCGGCCGTCAAGAACAGCGAGCTTTGTGGCTGCTGGTCCCAACATCGAGGAACGGGAAATCTTGTGGGCTAACGAGATGGGAGATCTGATTACAACGCTCGTGGGGAAATCCGCCACCATAGGTCTAGAGCGCCTAAACGCAAATGTGGCTATCGCGTTGAAGAACCTTGGCTTTGGGATTGTCGACGCTCAGAAGCCCGTCGAAATGGCACGGGCCATTAAATCAGCCGATGAGGTCAAGTGCATTATTGCATCCTTGCGTGCCACTGAAGTAGCAGTGGGTATACTGCGTGACACCATTCGTCCGGGAGTCACAGAGAATGCCTTATGGTCAGTTCTACATCAATCAATCATCGCCCAAAACGGAGATTACTGCGAGACACGTCTGCTCAGTGCAGGTCAACGAACAAACCCGTGGTTTCAAGAGGCGGCAAGTTATGTGATTGGCAAGAATGAGCTAATTTCCCTCGACACTGATGTCGTCGGGTGTCATGGCTATTATTCGGACTTCTCGAGAACCTTCCATTCGGGCCCTGATCCTCCCACCGAGGCGCAGCGAGAACTCTACAGAGTAGCACACGAGCAGGTGACCCACAACATGAACATTCTACGTCCTGGCTTAACCTTTCGTGAATACGCTGACTTAGCATGGGATATTCCGGAAAAGTACTACGCTAACCGATACTATCTCTCGGCACACGGTTGTGGAATGACAGGGGAATATCCATACCTCTATCATCGTGGAGACTTCCCGGATGCTGGATATGATGGTGTCATTGAGACTGGAATGGTTATCTGTGTAGAGAGCTATATTGGTGAGCAAGGTGGTTCTCAAGGGGTTAAGCTTGAGCAACAGGTTTTGATTACGGAAACGGGCATCGAGATCTTGTCAAAATTCCCATTCGAGAAAAGCTTCCTGAAATAGTACCGTTGTTGCTTGGCTGAGCAAGACGTAGTTTTGATTGACATTTAAAGGACAAGATTAACATCTATGCTTTATACTTTACATTTACATACTTGTAGGCCTATACCCTCGAAGCGTGGACTAGGAGCGTATATAGATAATAGAACTTATATACTCTACTATAGCTAAGGATCTATATCTAGTCTAGATATTCAATAGTTCTTCAATTATCCGTAGTATTCCTACTGTAATTTCAACTTTATTATATCAACAAGGAAGAATATGTATTCAGTGATAATATTAAATATACTCTTGATATGTCTACAGAACGCATATATCACAAAACAGCAAACATAATCCCTGCCATTACCAAGAATAGAGAATTTAGTATCTCGCGGAAACAGTAATATGATCGTGTTTGTTTCTGTAGCAGATCTATTGATGCTACGCCACTTCCCTTTCGAGGAATTATAAGGGAGTAGGCTACCTTGATTCAGAGCCCGTCTAATATAGAGTGGTCAACAATCCTGAGAAATATCCTGTTTCTTCCTGTAGCTATTACGGGAAAAGTCTTTTGGAAACCATCCATAGCTGTTCTTTTCTTGAAACATCAAATCCTGGTGCTTAATAAACACTCGGGTTCAAAGACCGCTCTGTATCCCGGGAATCGATCCAACTCAATGCCAAATGCAAGACTGCCGTCGCGAGCTATGATGGGTCATTGTCAAGGTTTTCGAGTGTATTTACTGAACATACAGTATATTACTTCAATTTAGGTGGAGTAACACCTATACCGAAATATATTTGTCTGTATTTATCTGAGGCCCGCTGAAGCCAAGGCATACTTCAGCGGGGTGGTAGGCGGGGCCGTGGGGGCAATTGTTAGTTTCTGCCTATTTCTCTCTATTAGTACCGAGGAATGTCGCTCTCTTCTCTCTAAAGATTGGTCTTCAACTATGAAGAAAGTGAAGAAATTCTTCTCTCAGCTTCAAAAGGAAAATTGGATGTACAGTCCTTGTCGGCCTCGGGGCTATTTATCAGTTGACCGCTCTGAACAAGTATCGCCGTACAAAAGACTCCGACGAATCTTTTGTCATCACAAGCGCAGTCGTTACGCTTCCCCAAACTACTGCTAGAAATTCAGGCCCCCCAAGACTATCAGGAACTCCATGTCGTGAGCGGTAATAGGTGGTTAGTTAGCGCCGCTTTGATTATGAGTTAGATAGGTATATCAATTGGTATTACTTCAGCTGTTGAGGTGACTATAATCTGAAAAGAGATAAAATGACACTATACAGAGTATATTGAATATTATCTATCAAGCCTAAACTAATAGCTGCTACCGAGGTCCTATCTGAACTCTACATGTCAGATGTATGCCGATAAATATAGGTTTGATTATGCTCCTTCAGTCTTCTGTTTTTTGCTGATCGAGCCAGGTACTTGGAAGCTATCAATTACTTTTATCCCGAGAATGTTCTCTGCTATTGTCAAACCCGAACTATTGTGTGCTCTCAGCGGACAATTCTTCCACAGCGTCTGGACAGAATCTGTTTGCTCTGTCTATTGTTCCCTCTGCTGCTATATTCTATCAATAACACCGAAGGTTGACAATTCGATGTAATTTTTTTTCTCTATTTACTAGCTGTTCACTACTTCTGGAATTCTGTATAGGATATTATACTTGGAATGAACTCTGTAAAAAGTCTTCAAATCGAGTTTACTTGTTGGAACCCGGATAACGAGTAGGATCCCGAATCAACTGAGCTGCTAGATAATCTCAAGCCGATAATAGCAGTTGTTGTTTCGATTTATATAGTTGACTTCTGCTGGGATCTTGGTAAAGATGAATGTATATGGGTGTTGGGAGATATACTTCTATTTGAGATTCGGTAAAAATACAGGATTTTATCATTTTCAATTATTGCATAATACGTCTATACCAGTAACTGAACCGCAATGTAGCCTATCACTTGTGGTGGGCTGAAAGCTCTCTCATAAGGCGAATAGATTCTCACCCTTCACCTGCCACTACCCCTATACCTTAGTGTCTGGGATACGTAGGTACATCCCGTCTCCCGGCCGGCTAATTGGTCCTGTTTTAATGTTCCTGTGTGTGCCGGAAAGTGCATAGTAATCTATCTATGTCTGCCAGCTGTTATCGGTGGATTAAGTCTACTATTCTACGTATCTATACCCGCTGGGTAAACAGCTATTGGCTACTAGACAGGGACTATTAGATATATTATAAACTGACTAGAATATATCTTCTCTCTGGAAAGAATTATTCTGAAATAACTGTATTAAACTATACTATTTTAGCTATATATAAAGATAAGGCTCTGTCTGATATAGTATAATTTATTAAATCTAGTAGTTTAGTTTTATAAATAGAGCTATTTTCTTATATTTTATTAGTTGAAATAGTAAATATGTCACAGATCCGATGATGACTCTGCTTGATGACTGTATCGTATACTCTGCCCGTTGTGCATATACAGCTCGGAGGCCGAACGGCGCCGACGGATCACATATCCGTTGACTTTTCAATAGCGTATAGTAGGTCCTTGTCAGTCTTATCTTGTTAGGCGAATAAGGGGCTTCTTCTGGATATAAAGTTAGCCTAAAGTTAATGGAAGAAGAAGGCAAGAATCAGTCTTCTGTCTGCCTGATATCTACTGCTTAGCTTTTAGCCTACGTACCCTATACCCTAGTCCGTGGCACCTCAGGGGCTGAGGTTGGCCTCCGGCCCTCCCATTGGCCCAGGTTTGGTGTTCCCGCGTGCACCCGGTACCGAAAGTGTGTGGCAATGCATCCGCGTCCGCCCCTTTTATTTAGTCAGCGGTCTTGCTCCGCTACTACCACTACTACCAATAGAAAGGAACGTACGCTGTTGTAAATCCATTGTATATTTACCGCGACAGTAATAATTCAGTAGATTATTGTATCCCAGAATCATGATTATTGACACTGGGGTATAAAGGATTTTACTGTACCTGGTAGTTGATCAAGTTTATTCCCGTGGTGTGATCTCCCGCGTGGTTTACTATTACAATGTGATGTGTAGTCAGATATATATATCTTATTATATTATATCCTATTTTCGTATCCCGCCCCCTGAGATTCGGGGAGGGGGGGTTTCTGTTTATGTTTCGATCCTATCTTAGTTGGTCAATTTTCCTTGATATACTTTTATATCTTTGATTCTCGAACAATGGATCTCTTCTTGTACAATCCCACATATCGTGTCTGGATCTGCGTCTCCTGCCAGTATACACTCTGTCCGCAGCGCCTGGAGGGCCATCTGCGGAGGCAACACGCCAAATATCCTACTGCGGCCACGCCAGCGCTTCGTCAAGCGGCCTTGACAGCAATGCTCCAGCGGCCCTGGCTGGATCCAGCCCAGGAGCCCTGCGTGTTTCCTGCTTCCAGTAGCTCCCCGGTGCCGGGCTGCCAGTCTTTCCGGGCCTAGGCTGCGCCCACTGCGAGTATGTTTGTCGATTGCCGTATACCCTGCGGAATTATATCGCGCGCACCCACCCGGAGACCCGGCCAGGCTGTCTCGGAAGTCGGCAACACAAGGGTATAGAATCGCTCGGACGCCCGGTTTATTGCCAGCGTTTCTTTGTAGGGGGCGCGGGCAGTGCCTTTTTTGAAATCCAGTCCTCGGCGCAGGCTAAACGGCTTCTCCAGAAACCGGATGGCATAAGCCGAGTAGCGTTTATCCAAGCCCAGGCCAATCTGGATCTGGACTGCAATCTGGCCGCGGACCAGGCGGACGATCAGCAGATTGTCAAGCAGCGAGACACTACCGAGATCTCCCCCTGGCTGGAGCTCACCCAGTGGCCAAAATATCTACACGGCCATTCCTTTCCCGCCGTGGCGGCCCTGGCGGCCCTGCCCCACGAGTGCCAGGAGCCGCTGCTGGTCCAGTTCAGCCAGAGTCTCACGCGGCTGATCGACCGCGCGTACCAGACCATCGAGGACCGCCGGGTGAACGAGTTCGACCAGATCCGGATCAACAGCTTCCTGCAGCGGCCCGGGGTCTGGGACCGCCCGATCCAGATCCACCTCAAGCCCTCCACCTACCAGCGCTACCGGCAGGTGTGGCAGCGCCTGATCTGCTTTGCCTACCGGACCAGCCGATCGTGCTCTACCACCAGCTGACGACGGCCCAGTTGGCCGCCCTCGACCGGATGGAGGCGTCCGCGCAGCGGCTCCTGCACGGGGACGGTTCCCCGTCCGCGATCCAGGCCCAGCTGGACAAGGCGTACCTGGCCTTCTCGATCGCCCTGCTCGACTATTCGCTGAAAGGGGACCTGTTCGAGAGTACTCTGGTTGGCTTCCTGGCCGCGCTGGGCGTCGACGCAGCCAACCAGACCTTTCACGAACCGTATGGATACACCGGCTATCTCTCGGGGCTGGTGAAGATGGTGCAGATGCTTGTCGTCGAGCAGGCGGTCCGGATGGCGGATGCCGGCGACGTGGCGCATCCCGCAGACGTCTTGGATGTGATGCGGGAGCGCTTCCTCCTCCACGGGGTGCGGGCCCCCTTTGGCTGGATCACCCGCCTGCGGACGTACGGGAAAAAGGTGCAGAATACTACAACCAGTCAGGGCTATATCTACTGGAGTGAGAATGAGCAGACGCTGACGTACAAGGAGCTGCGGCTGACCATGACGGGGTTTCGCCGCTTTATCCGGACGGAGATGGAGCTGGCCCAGGCCGATCTCGAGGAGCTCTTCCTCATCCACGAGGAGGAGACCCGGGAGAACATCGTCCCCGCCCTCCGTCTGGCCCAGCTGCAGGATGATCCGACGAAGAATACACGGGGCTGGAACTTCCTCCAGTATCCCCCCAACCGCGCGACGTTGGCGACCGGCGGGCCGCGGTGGTTGATAAACCGGGTCCTGACCAGCGACTGGCTCCGGGAGGAGTTTGTCGACGTGGCGGCCAGCGAGACCCAGGTGGTCTGGCACAGCGCCGCGGTCCATCGCTATCTCCAGCAGGTGGACAGCTTC